AGGTGGTCTCGCTGTTTGAACCGTGTCAATCCCAAGCTAGTGAACTTGAGTTTAACCTTTGGTCGTCCAACTGATAGACTTCCCGTCAACCTATCGAGCTGAAACTCGGCACATCGACTCGATGCCGATGACAACATATTCTTTCAAATTTTCAGCCCCACCCCAAACCCCAAAATCGAATTCATTTTTTTTTCAAGGCGAAGATGAATGAAATATGAAACAAATCCACAATTTTACATAGCCGCCATATCTTTCTGATTCTGATAGGGTACGTTGCTGCATCCATGCACTGGCATATGTGCAACGGTTTGGGAAACGATGCGTCTATCCTAATGGCTCCCAGCGGGTGCCAGGGCAGCCCTGAAACTCTCACTTGATGTCGAGTCCACGGCGGCATTGTCCAGTTGGTTCCAGGCAATTATTGTTCATGGGAAGAAAGATGGTTTATATTAGACTGTGTTACACCGAGGCTCAGTGAAGCATTTACTATTGTTCCGGATGTAACTGCTCATGGAGTTGTCAGAGGTGAAGTCAGTGTTTATTGAGCATTTGGCTCTGATTACGCGACCTGTTGTTTCTGTGGGGGGTGGGGGGTGAGATACGTGTTAGCTGGAAAGGCCGGCACTAGCCACGTGACCACTTTATAGAGGAATGTTAGACGGAGCTTTTCTCGTCTGTATTTCAGGGAGGGGATGTCAAATCTTTTTTTGAAGAGGTCAGCGACGAAGCCAGGAGTGGTGGATTTGTAGTCACGTGCGATGAAGCGCACCGCGTTACGTTGTGTTCGCGCCATCTTGTCCACGTCTTGCTTTAGGTGCGTGGGTCCCAGGTGATCGCACTTTTTCCTCATCACTGTTGGGTTGTTAAATTTCTTACTTCCACTCACTTCCTTTTCGTTCTTCTTAACTTTCCTTTAGTCTGGGTTTGCGCCCACTCTAATTCTGTTCTACTTTGTAGGTAGGAGACACGTCAGTAGATATTATGTACACATTAATTTATCGCCTTCTCAATCACAAGCGTCAATGGCATTGCTAAATTTTTTGGCGGGCCGGGTGGGGGTCATGTTTAGTGGTGGGGGTCATGTTTAGTGGTGGGGGTCATGTTTAGTGGTGGGGGGCATGTGTAGTGGTGGGGGTCA